ATGAAGAGAAAAGGATCGTTTTTTAATTACGATAATGACGAACAAACCTCATTATCCTTAAGCATAACTTAAGGTAATTTCACTCCCCGAGTTGAGTTCGCTCATGGCCCTCGCCATGGCCATCAGCTATATCTATTCCGCTTAACACATTGTGTAAACCAACGAAACGGAAAGAACTGAAAGACACCGGATAAAAATAATTATGAAGCAAACATGGAAACGTAGATATATATCCTTAGGTTTACATTTGTAACCGTATTTACATAATCGCACAACCATCAATTAGACGAGCATAAATCATGTTTTCTAACCAAATGTAATAAATATTTTAGGTAATGAACATATATATATAATGACACTTAATCAACCGGGCTAATGAGTGGATGTTGCAGTAATAATTGACAGGGTTGTTTGGTTTACTCTTTAATAATAATTATGACCTTGAATACAGCACGTAAATTACACACGTCTCCAACATACTAATGATGATGATGGAGAAGATAATAATGTTAGGCCCCATGTCCAGTGTGTCTAAAAAACTGGTCGATGTTGTGAAATATTGAGCTATTTTGAGACATTTCAGCGCGTATACCATAAGATAAAAAGATGATCCCCCTTTTGGTCCGAAGAGTTGTGACCAACAGAAGTGGGCGTGGTCATGGGTTTTTTTTTGTTTTGTTTTTGTTTTGTTTCGTGTGTTTCAGTGGCGCGGAGGGGGTGGGGTGCACGATCAGTTTATTTTCCGTACCAGCGTCCCCTCATGTCATCATCGAGTGCCTCAATCAGACCCCCCCCCAACCACCATTTCTATGGGCGGCCATTATGGCCAAAATAGACAAACATTGGCGTACGAGCAATCCCACTCTCACGCAGTAAGGACAATACAAATTGCCGTAAGGACAATACAAATTCTCGTAAGGACAAGACAATCACTCGCCGTAAGGACAATACAAATTCTCGTAAGGACAAGACAATCACTCGCCGTATAGACAAGACACAATTCGCCGTAAAGACAAGACAAACACTCGTAAGGACAAGACAATCACTCGCCGTACAGACAAGACAATTCGCCTTAATGACGACAATTTATAACGTTGAGGACAGCATATTTTAAGAAAGTCATTGATCGAATTCCTAGTCCACATATCAAGCGCCATGAGCATCTTACATTAGATGGATATGTGCGCTATATAAAACTACACTATTATTATTATTATTATTATTATTATTGTTATTATTATTATTATTATTATTATTATTATTATTATTATTATTATTAAAATATTAGTAATAGGCCTAATAATAATAGTTCAATGAGACTAATTAAAAGTAATTTGTGTTCTGTTATGACAAATGCTCGTTGGGATAGCCTCATGATGCTTGAAATACATCGTATTGGTGAAGCAACTTCGACCATGACAGCGTGGTTGACAGATTTCATGCAAAATTTTCAAAATGTAAAATTTCACTTTCAAGAATGAGGATTTAAAAATAATTTAGATGGTTACATTGCATACGCTTTGTTTCTTGTTTTATTCAAAATGTTTTGGTTTTGGAAGCTGATTTCGACATTAGAAAACATATAGCCTACATGAAGTCATATAGTAACTCGATGCCTATCAAAATAAGTAATTAAAATTGGCCATAATTCGTCATATATCCGTGGCTTCCAT